CATATGGTTTCGATTGTTAAACGTGTGCAGTTCTTAAACATGCTTCAGAGATGACCTTGGCGAACACAAGCTTATTCCACGAACTGAAGCCAAGGCAAACTATCTCCTCAAGGATTGTGACCTTGACATACGTGAACCTCCGCTACGTTTTTGGGCCAAGAAGAATCCTCATAACCCTCGTTATGGTGACATGAAACTATATCTGAAATGTCAGGTAGGCTATTCAAGATCTTTCAGTTTTCGTTTTATTCCCTGAGTATTCAGGTGATTGATCGAATGTTGGAAATCTATGGCAGCTGGGAAGAATTTGAAGCTGAGAAAAAGTTGAGATCAACGCAAAAAGAAGTCAGGGCTGAGAAGAATTTCGAGAAAAAAGTGAAGGAAATGAGGCAACATGTAAGTTTTTTTGTTCAGCTAGCTTTCTGTCTTTTCTACGAAAAGGGGTTGTAAAGGTCAGACAGTATCCCGCTATTTTGTTTGAGCGAAATAAATTACGCTAAAAGTTAAAAATCCCACATTTCTTCTCATACAAGTTGCTTATTGTAGATACGAGGCCTGTCTGGTGTGAAGATCCGTCAGGAAAAAGCCCATGAGCATGTTTATGGCGAAGAAAAATATGACGAAGCTAAGGATGAATACTCGAAGGAATGCTTAGAATGCGACTATGTGTTGACCTACGAAAAAATGTGAAACCTGTCAAAATCTCCCAGTCGGAAAGGTATTAGCAAGTTTTGACTTTCCGTTTTTATGGGTATGCTTGGACCTGTTTTAGCTCAAGTCTAAAGATATCAGAATGTGCTAATGTTGATTTATTATTTTTGATCTCACTTGATCTTTTCTGTTTAGCTTCTCATCAGTAATTTTTTACATTAATGCTTTTTCTATGGTATAACTTTAGATTGTCTTCGTTACCTCGTATAATTACTTCATTCACTAACGATTTCTTATTTCGCTTGTCATTTATTCTTTTTTTGGCATATTTTTGAAAGACTTTTAATCTAGTTTAGCCCGGTTTAATTTATTTCTAGTAAGTGTTCCAGTCATTTATAATTTCACTTTGGAATTATAGACTTTTTGTTTGTCATACATCGCTATATTTGGCGCAAGATTGATAGGGTAGAGTGCATGTTCTGCCCCGTATTGGCTTGCTTGAGGTTTGTTTTAGGAATTTTTTGAATGAAAATAGTTTGTTCATCTTTAATTATGCTCTTCATAGACGACTTATCTGAATTTTTGGGCTTAGAAAACGCGCACCACACAGTCCGGTTAT